CCTAACAACCGTTCTAAAGAGGAAGTTGTTCTTTTGAAACAGGTGTTGTGGGCCGTAGCATTGGAAAGGGAAAAGAGGACCATCACAGTATTATAATAGAGTTGTAGTCTGTGGTTTGCAACTGGCCGTTTCAGCTTCATTTTTGAACAAAGAGGGGTTGTAGTCATAATTATATAGTTCTTAATAATCTTCTTAGAGTTGCTGCGTGGGCTCGAACAAAAAATAGAGAATAATTGTCTATGTATAACATTTCCAAAATGCCACAACTGTGTAGGAGCAATGTTTATGCATTTGTAAAAGGCTCTGGCTCTCAGATTTAGAGTTGGAATGATTCTTACGGGTCATCTAGTCTAATCTTTACTTCATCAATTAACCACAGGATATTTGAAATCAGCAAATAAATTCAGAAGGAATTTTACTAGAGAAGAACTTTTTGAAAATCGGACCTAATAAATCTTTCGAAACCTCTTCCTTTATAAGTCAAGGAAAACAAGTTGAAATTATTCTACATCTGAATCATATACTGACTCAAAATTCCTAGAAAAATTTGTTTTTAAGCTAGTACTTAAGTACTTACAATAAAAGAGATGCTTTAGATGAAATATTATCTTCTATTCTAAATAAATTAGTGCCAAGTTGGACAGATGAAGTTATTTAGAGATACTGAGTTACTTGATTGAGATACCCTCAACTAGTAATAAAATTTGATACCAAGTCTGTCTGGCTCCAGGGTATCACTGCAAACATCTGGAATGACAATCTAGATGCACTTCAAAGAGCCTGTAAGCATCAAGATATAAAAATCAGCTGAATGGAGTTTAGGGTCAGAAAAATTCTATTGATAATGCTATCTCTGTCACATCCAGAGTCTGAACAAAGATCTGAGCATCTCTCTACTACTGTGGTAAAATCTTATTGGATATTAATTAATTATTAATTAATCATTAATTATATAATATTAATGTTGTTTATAAAATGCTTAGTACACTAAGCACATGATACTCAAAAGCTGTAGATCTTTGCAGGACTATGATCAACATAAGAATGTAACATTCACTTTAGTCAGTGTGATTCAGAAATAATGTCTCTGATTGGATTAAACCTTGGTATAGGTGTAATTGTGTGTAATAGGCATCAGTATACAGGTTTACCACGATTAAACATAGTTGTTATTGATAGAAAGAAAGAATAAGGAGTCAATTCATCTTAATCCCATTAAAATCTCTAGATCATAAAATATGAAACTATGATGGGACAGAATTTTTTAATCCAGTCTAATATTTGGATGGTTTAATATAGATGAAACCCAAATCAATAAAGGTATGGGACCAGAATAATAGCAGAAATCAATTCTAGTTCTAGACCAATTAAAAAAAAAGAATCATACTGTTCATTACTGTTCCCTACATTAGCAGTTTACTTATAAAGAATGTACATTGATTTGAAATGTTTTTATCAAGAATCCTTAAAGCACTTTGAATACTCTAGTCCAAAAGAGTTGGGAACTCTGGAAGGCTGGAGGACTATAATGAGTGAAGAAAGATTCTTTGCGTGTTTTTTTCTGCCATAGCAGAAAAAATGAAATAGACATAATAACCATTTACTCAGGCCTTTCCTCAGATAAAAGCTCTGTAAATACCCACTCTGGCAATTTTAGTTATATCGACTTCTTTCCCCCAGTTTTATCCCTATCTCTTCCTCTGCTTTATTTTTCACATGATACCACTTTCTAACATATGTATTGATTCACTCTTCCAAGAACCTAAGTTTCAAGAGGATATACACTTTTTTAAAAATTGAATCACCAAGAGACACAGTTACAAAGCTTTCATGATTGAGTTTCAGTCATACAATGATCGAACACCCATCCCTCCACCAGTGTACATTTCCCACCACCAATGTCCCCAGTATCTCTCCCACCACCCCCACCCCAACCCACCCCCTATCTCTATGGCAGACAATTTCCTTTTACTCTCTCTCTCTCTACCTTGGGGAATTATAGTTTGCAATACAGATACTGAGAGGCCATCATGATTGGTCCTTTATCTACTTTCAGCACACATCTCCCATCCCAAGCAATCCCTCCCATCATCATTTACTTAGTGATCCCTTCTCTATCCCCGCTGCCTTCTCCCCCAGTTCATGAGGCAGGCATCCAACCATGGAGCAATCTTCCTGACCCTTGTCTCTACTGTCCTTGGGTGTTAGTCTCATATTATAAGAGGGCATACACTTTTGTCTCTAACACACCCTGGTACCGAGGAAGGGTGCAACCATGTTATAAGGTGAATTAATGATCAAGTATCTCTCAAACTTATACGATGTGTTAGTAAATTAAGGTACAATAATTTATTTTCCTTTTTGAGAGTACTTTTTAAATTTAGGAAGCAAATGTAAAGTTCTCCAGAATATGCCATTAAGTAATTTTTTTAAATATTCTAATTTAAATATATATGTATATATATATATATTTTTAGGGGGTATTAAGTAAGACATGGTACCAAAAAATGGGGATTGAACAAAAATACAAAAATAGAGGTGATGTTATGCTTTTTATTTTTATTTTTAAATATATTTTGTTTCATTTGAGAACAGTAAGGAGAAAGAGAGAAAAAGAGAGAAGAAAAAAGAGAGTACATTCTGAAGGCCCATTTTATGCCCATGATTGTATGCTTGTTTGAATTTTCTTTGAAATCAAAATGAAAAATTTTAGTCCTAATGAAGAGCATATGGGCACCCGATTTTAATCCTATTTTCCGTAAATGTGCTATAGGTAGAATTGGCAAGTTAAAAACATAAATTTTAGCAGCACATCCCAATTGATTCAAATCATCACCCTCGTCCTTTATCCTCATGGCAACAGCCCTGACTTCCCTTTCACTGCTCTTCTCTGTTGTTGTGTCTCGATGTTTTGTCTTTTTCTGTTTTGTTTTTCCTGTCCTCCATGCCACCCCCCTCCTACTCTGTCGCTGCCCCTGGCTCACGCATTGTTTTGTTCTCAGTACCAGTTTGCACGTGGGCGCATCCTGAGAAAATAAAGTCACACTGCTGAGAAAGTTCTAAGTCAGAGAAGTCCAACATAACTGGAGGACTCCTAACCCCGCTCCCTTCTCCCTGACTTTTCCTGCATATCCCACAAGTGCCCCTACCCGGTGTTGCTCTCCACGCCCCTCCACTACTCTTGTGTCCTTTTCTCTTCCTCCCACCTCTATTTCTACCAAACCAGCGCTCCAGGTTTCTCAGATTCTGCCCTTGGATTCACTGCGCTCAGAAATTCTCCTTGCCTGTCTGTCTCCTTGATGGACATCACAGATTTGTATCCCTCCCACTGCAGGAAGTCATTTGTTCCTCATGTTTCAACTAACGAATGCTAGAGAACAAGGTTTCTCTAGAGTATGCATAGCAGCTGTGTAACCTTCAATCATGGCCAGTGCAAGGTATGTAGAAAAAACTAGCCATCGGTAAAGGCTGCCAGTTCAGCCAAAACGTACCATGAGGAGGGGTTGGAGCGATAGCACAGCGGATAGGGTGTTTGCCTTGCATGTGACCAAACCCAAGTTCGATTCCCAGCATTCCATATGGTCATCCGAGCACCGCCAGGAGTAATTCCTGAGTGCAGAGCCAAGAATAACCCCTGTACATTGCCAGGTGTGACAAAAAAAAAAAAAGTACCATGAGGAGAGCATTTTTATTCTTATTCTTTATTTATTTATTTGCATTTTGGGTCACACCCAGTGATGCTCAGGGGTAACTCCTGGCTCTGCACTCAGGGATCACTCCTGGTGGTTCTAGGGGGATCATATGGGATGCTGGGGATCGAACCCGGGTCGGCTGCATGCAAGGAAAACACCCTACCAGCTGTGCTATCATTCCAGTCCCTAGGAGAGCATTATTTTAAAGAAAGGTTTTGTGGGGTAGGGAGACAGCTTAAAGGACTGGCATGCCTGCCTTGCTGGTACCTACCAACTTTGGTTTATTTTTTTTTCTTTTTGACTCTTTGGGTCCCACCCAGAGATTCCCAGGGGTTACTCCTGGCTCTGCACTCAGGAATCATTCCTGGAAGTGCTCCGAGAATCATATGGGATGCTGGGGATCAAACCCTGATTGGCCGTAAGTCTACAACTGTACCTCATGATGTTTCACTATTAAAAAGTTAAAAAATAATAAGAAAATGATAAAGAAAAAATAAATGACCTTTTAGCATATTCATATTTAAAAAAACAAAATCTGGTCAGCTGCCTGCAGGGAAAACACCTTACCCTCTTTTTTATCATTCCAGCCCCACCAACTTTGGTTTTGATTCCTGACACTGCAGGCTGTCCCCTTTTCAGCACCAATAGGTGGGACCCTGCTGAGACCAAGCAGAACGCCATCACCAACTGGCTGAAATATCCCTAAGAGGAATCCGCTTAGGAGGGTCTCACACACCTCCTCCCCGACACACACACACACACACACACACACACACACACAAAAGCTTTGAATCATCTTTTAGTCATGTCAAATCAATAAATGAACTTGAACCTCACAACCCAATGAGATCAATTTAAAAAACTGATTTGTGGCTGACAGTAGGGATCAGATAAAGATGAAAGAAGAACAACTTACTAAAGTCAGAGCAGGAATTAAAGGGGCAATATTTCAGGTGAAGGCACAATATAAAAAAAATCATAACTAGGAACTGTTAATGAATGGAAAGAGAGTTGGCTGGCCATCCTGAAGATTAGTCACGCATCCGGTGTGATTCAGTGGGTGATCTAATTAAGCCTTCCTGGATCGAGTGAAATAGGATAAACATGTTAAACACTTTCTCTTCCCTGAGTCTGCAGAGGATAAGAATTCCTTTTCATTGGAAAATGCAAAATGATTATCGAAGAGCAAGCCTCTTCCCTACCTTTAACGTCACAAATACAGGCCACTGTAACTTTACCCTAAAGATTATGAGAACAGTATTCATGGTAGATTTAGAATGATAATTTTTGCCTTTTATTTCCTTGCAGGCTTGTAAATTTTATAGCTCCCAGTGGCATGTGGTGAACTACAAATATGAACAGTATTCTGGAGACATTCGGCAGTTACCCAGGTAAGAACTCCTGTAAGTTTTCCTTGTGTTTTATTAGATAGAGAGAGAATATTTAGATACATACATTCATACATCCTCTGCTTAAGTCCTGGCATTGTTGGTGAATAAACTATCCATGGATCTAGTATCAAAGTAAAGTTTACAAGATGTGTGAAGAAAAGTCACAATAGAACATTTTGTTAAGCCATGTACTGTTTGTAGAGTCACAGAATTGGAAGTGAGTTATAAGTGCGCATTTAATATTTATGAAATTGTAAAGCTTACTTATCATTGAAACTTTAATGAGTCTTCCTTTTATTCACTAACACAAGAAAATTAGAGGAGCATGATTTGGACCAATTAATTGTTTCTGACAATATTCCATACATAGCATTCATATTTATCAGTGTTTTCAATTTTTTGTACCAGGACATTAGAATCCATGAGGAAAAACAGTATCCCATAGAAGTGACATGTGTCTAAGAACAGTAGAAGGAGATGATAAATACTGATTTTTTTCTGGACTCCAGGGAATGTAACACCTTATTGAGAAGGTGACAGTTTTGCATCTGTCAAATATCATCCACAAAGAATTTCAGCTGACCAGACCCCCAATTAAAGCAGTGACTTCATCCTCCTTAAAGAAACCCCCCCCCCCCATCATACACTCCTACATAGTTCCCTTGAGCCCTAGGAAACTGCATGGCACAAAGTAACTGCATAGTCATTCTTGATGGAAAAAACTCAAAATACAGTGTTTCTGGATGTGATTAGACTTTCTCCATTTATCTCACATACAAACAACTCTGCTGATGTAGATACCCCTGAAATTTTGCTTCATCCAACTAAGGTGATATAAATACTGCCAGAAAAAAACCTTAAGACTCTCTAAAGTTAAATTCCCTTCAGGGAAAGCAATGGAGAATACATATTGAAGCTAGCTTTCTCAGAGACACTTGGTTCAATTAGGTAACTTCTCTCTCAGATTTCCCATGGGTCCAGGAATATCTTTTCTGGATTTGGATCCTTGGAAGGGCTTCTGTCTGCTTTCCTGTGCAGAATTTGAAGTGTTATGAACCAGCTGTGAGGTAACGCATTTTGGGTCATCTCTGAGAAGGTGATGTGTGGGTTTTGATCTGAAGAAAAGTAGTTCCCAGCACCCTGATCTTAGGAAATGGTTCTGAGATAGCAACCAGCAGAACAATAGTCAGGAAGCAGAGCTGCAGGTCAAGAACAGAGGAATAAGGTAACACTAGTAATTAACAAAAGACCCAGGTTCTCATGAAGGGACCTTGAATTTTGTGATCATTGCAACAGAAATCTCTGGAAGTGTGGACCAAGCATTTTCCCTGGTTTACCTCTCCAGAAGGTTCTACAAGGAACCAGGGATGTGACTTGTGTGATAGAGCATATGTCTTGCCTATGAGGAATCCCAGATTTGGTCTACAGGAGGTGGGAGACCTAGTAGTCCCTGAGCATCGCCAGGCCCCTGGGAATGAGCTAGGAGTGGTCAAAATAAATAAATTAAAAAATAAAAATAAATAAACGACTATAAGTTCACTAAGTCTACATTAAGGAGAGTGAGTTGCAATAGTGAGGACAAGAAAGATGGTTAGATGGAGGGCACTGAGAAGCAAGTCACTGTCACTGTCCTCCCGTTGTTCATAGATTTTCTCGAGCGGGCCCAGTAACGTCTCCATGGTGAGACTTGGTTTTTACTGTGTTTGGCATATTGAATACGTCACGGGGAGCTTGCCAGGCTTTGCCGTGTGGGCGAGATACTCTCGGTAGCGTGCCAGGCTCTCAGAGAGGGGCAGAGGAATCGAACTCGGGTTGGCCATGTTGGCTGCGTGCAAGGCAAATGCCCTACCCGTTGTGCTATCACTCCAGCCCAGAAGCAAGTCATCTCTTGCAAACTTTCATTACTGTGAAGAACAAAAGAATGTTTGTCCAAAACAGCCCATCTTTTTTTTTTTTATTTCCAAAGTAGTGAACACTGACTTCGACCAAATCTCCCACCATTCTCTTCAAACCAGGTCACTCATAACAGGGAAAACTCCCGTAATTTTGAGTTGGGCTTGCTCCCCTCACCCCAAAGACTAAGACTTTGTGAGTCATTTCTGCATTTGGAACATCCCGGGTTCTAGACACTCTGAAAAGCAAAGCGTTTCTGAACATCCAGACTTCCTTTTTCTGAAAATAGTTCTGAGAAGTGGTTACAACTTGGAAGTTGTGTGCGAGATGTTGGAGGTCTGTCTGTTGTGTGTCTGAGGTATGTAGATGACAGGGTTCAGCTCTTCTGGTGACTAGAAGCTCCCTGCTATCCTCAGGTCAATGACATCTATAGTGGCTTTCCCTACCAAATGCTCTCTCGCTTTTCTTATGTCTGGGTTGTGAATAAATGAATAAACTGAATAAATGAATAAACTGAATAAATGAAAGATTCCGGATGTACAGTATTTCTCCTCTCTTAAAACCACCAAATATGCACCTCCCAGCAGAAACAGCTCTGGATATCATTAAGGAATTTTAATTCTCATGGGACAAGCGAGAAAAAAAAATCTCTTGAGAATAAATGTGAAAGTAACTGAAATATTGTTGAGAATTTCCCTCACTTCAGCTCAGAAAGTGGAAGTTGAGGCCAAGAAAGGGAAGAATAAGGCTGCCACAAACTTAGGCCTATTAATGAACTCCCCTTCTATATTCAAAATGAAAATCAAAATTTAGAGACTGTAATTCTTTAAAATATCCCCAGGAACAACAAAGACTCATAACACTTTTTATTTTTCGGTGATTTTATAAAGTTTAAGCACTCCCCAACCCAAGGCCCTACATTTTTAGGTCAGTAAGAGAAATCTAATTTCCTTGGGTCTTCAGAGGCCATAAGTAAATCATTTTCATACCTCCTGGATCTGAAGAATTTGCTTCTGTCTGCTACCAATTTAAATTGATCATTTTTTTTATGAGCTGCTGAGACTGCAGAATGAAAACTGGCCATTATAGAAAAGTGAAAAAAAAAGAGGTGTGTTTATCTCCCTCATTTTGAATCTTTAAATTTAAGTTTATATTATGACTGACTCCTAGCAACCCCATAATTAGGAGTGTGTTCATAGGAAAATATTGGAGAGAAATATTATTTCAGGTTAGACTGTAAAATATAAAGCTGTCACGTATCAGGAATAAAAACCAGCTCTTAACCAGGCTTCTCAGAACACAAGAATAACATAAAAATCTATATTATGCCACTGATTTTATTAATCCACAGGGTAAAATAGAGATATAGAATACTTTTATATATATTTTACTGCAGCTGGTTATATACAAAGAAGAAAATGCCAGAGTATTATTTTGTGGCTGCAGAGAAAATAAAATGGAACCAGCTTAGTTAAACTGAATTATGACAATATAAATTTTTAATAAAAGAACATTTACCAAGTAGCAACAGTGAGCCACACGCTAACATATTTTGGGGGTGGGGTGTATGGGCCATGCCCAGTGATGCTCAGGGCATACTCCTAGCTCTGGACTAGGGGAGCACTCCTGGCAGTACTTGGGGAGACTGTATGCAGTATCAGGGATCAAACCTGGGTTAGCTCCATGCAAGATCTGAGCCCTACTCACTGTGCTATCTGTGTCCCCGTTGACAGATTTCTTCTGCTGTAGACTTGTAATTATGGCATTACCTATTCATCCATCCATCATTTCTCTTGTCATCCACCCACCCCTTTTTCAACCAATTAGGAGTTACCCTCCAATAGTGCTGGGGTATGAGATGCATCTTTCAATGTGGAACCTGATGATGTGGGCCTGATGGTTTGTTGCTCGGATCTGGCAATGTGATGCTTACGCCAGTGCCAGGTACCAGGGGAACATCATTGCCACAGTAATGCTGCTATATGGAGCGATATGGTACTGGGGGATCAGACCTAACCCCTTACACATGCAAAGCAGGTGCTGTACCACTTGAATTATCTCTCCAGCACCTCCCTTGTTATCTTGAATTTTATAAATGAGTACAATGCCCACAGCCTTCATAAAACTTTTTAAATGCCCACCATTAACTTTTTTGTTTGTTTGTTTGTTTGTTTTTTGGGGTCACACCCGGAGATGCACAGCGGTTACTCCTGGCTCTGCACTCAGGAGTTACTCCTGGCGGTGCTCAGGGGCCATATGGGATTCTGAGAATCAAATCCGGGTCAGCCACATGCAAGGCAAACACCCTATCCTATGTGCTATCTTTCCAGCCTCGCCCACCATTAACTTCAGATGTTTGTGTTTGCATTTCACTATTTGTTTTCTTTCGATGGGAACTAAATAAGAAAATGCACAAGTTGCAAGTAAATCATAAAAAGACTTTCTTTCTTGTGTTGGTGCCAGGGAATAAATTCAGGATCTAAGACATGGGAGCTACATGCTCTGCTGAACTGCTTCCCTGGTACCCTTTGATGTCTTTTGAGCATAGTAGACCTATATAACTGAAAGCCCATGAAGAAATGAAACATTCTCACCATCATCCAAGTTAACTGCACCCATTCCTGTTCAGGACCCACCCCTACTTCCCTCTCCCCATTCCTCACTATCGCTTACTTGATTTTCTTGATTCTAGGCTAGTTTTATTTGCTCTAGAATTTTATTTAGTCAGACCATAGTATGCTTAGGCTTCTAGTTTCTTTGAATCAGATATTTTGTTTCTGGGGTGAAATCATGGTTTTAGCTCTGCAAGTATTTCAGCTTTGAAGGAGAAAAGATTTCTGAATGATGGAACTTAATGGAGTTGCTGTGTTATAGTTAATTTGTCTTTTTAAGAATATATCTATTTTTTCTAAGAAATATAAAAAAAATACAAAAAGAACACTATGCCTGCCCCATCGAGAGATAATCATTGTTCTTAATTTTATTTCCTACTATTTTAATCCTAGCACAGCGGTAGGGCGTTTACCTTGCACGCAGCCAGCCTGACTGAGCCAGGTTCGATTCCTCCGCCCCTCTCGGAGAGCCTGGCAAGCTACCGAGAGTATTCAATATGCCAAACACAGTAACAAGAAGTCTCACAATGGAGACGTTACTGGGCCCACTCAAGCAAATCGATGAACAACGGGAGGACAGTGACAGACAGTGACAGGAGTGATATCTATGTTGCTGCAGATACCAGAGAAGCTCCTCTTGTTTCCATGTACCACTTCTTTCTGTAACCAAGTCCCATTGGATTTAGCCATTCTCTTCTGGAAGGACAACATTTTGGGGCGATTCGCCTCTAACATTGAAATATATGGACTTCTGTGAAACTTTGGCTTTAATCTCTAGACTTAGTTATTTCCAATTCTCAATTTGGGACTGTGTAGGAAAACCCTCCCAAGTATTTAGTCTCCTGTCATGTCAGATTCATTCAAACCAGCCTCTTGTTGCCTCACATATTTGTTCTTATCCCATCAGTAATCTGAACTACTAGTTCCTCCCTGCTTTGTTTATAAGTAAAATTTGGAAAGAAAAGTTTGTTCTGCAAAATCAGGGTTGAACATTAGATCTTTTTTGTGATTTACAACGATATTTTTTGAAGCACCAATAAAATTGTTCTTGTATAAAAAAGGGAAGAAAAACATCCTGGTGAAAGAGAACAAAATAAGAATTACTGAAACCAATATAAATGCATTATAATCAAAGAGACACTGATAAGTAATCTCTAGCCTAGTCGATTAGACCACCCATGTGTGCTAAATATTGACATCCCATGTTTATCTTTACTTCCTCTTTCCCAGTTTACTCTTCCTGGTTTCTTATCAGTCACTTGGAATGCTTCCTTTACTATCCTGTTATCATTTTAAGAATCCTAGAACATTTGTGTTTCTTCCTCTACAGACAAATCACTTTAAGCAGTTGCTCTGAAGTCAGTCACCTTTTATTGTCTCCGAATCTCAGGAAATATGTACCCACACAAGAGAATGGAGAGAAGAAATGGTTGTGTTTAGGTCTTTATTTTTCCAATCAAATGGAAAGTTGATGGGATTATTTAAGGAACATCAAAATTGTTATGGAGGGAAAATAGCATTTTCTGTTGATTAGGAATAGATGGTCCCAAAAGAGCATTTTGCAGTTTCCAACTTGCTCTGATTTCACATAAGGTTGAAACCAAAGAGGGAAAATAATTTAACATTACTGACAGGGAACACAGATAAGTCTGAGTATCTCTCAGACTTTGCAAGAAAAAAAAAAAGAAAGAAAGAATAGAAAAGAAAGCCAGGTGGTGGTACAGCCGATTGGCATTTGCCTTGCACGCGGTCAACCTAGGTTTGATCCCTGACATCCCATATGGTCCCCAAACACCACCAGGACTAATTCCTGAATGCAGACTAGAAATAACCCCTGAACATTGCCCAGTGTGCCACAACCCCCCCCCAAAAAAGAAGAAAAGATCAAAAACAGTAGAATCCATTGGAAGAGAAATGCTATCTCATGTAATAAGCTTATTAAAGATGATCGGGGTCAATCTTTTGTAGTTACATGAATTAGCATTTTGGTAATAAAATTTTTAATTCCATCTCTTCCAATATGTCTCTATTATGAACTTTATTTTTTCTTTCTTAAAATGAAAAGAGTACACTAGAATGGGGAGCCCCAGAATGTGTACACAAATGTATATATATATATATATGTATATATATATATGTTCTAGGATTCTTATATATATATGTTAGTGTATACAATTTCATAAAAACAATATGCTACTTACTACATATTTATATTTTAAAAGAAAAATATTGCTAATTTGCTTAATGTATACATATAATACATAAATACGAACAACAGGATGGTCGTGATCATGATCGTGATAAATACATATAAATCTGGAAGCCACCCCTGGAAGTGCTCTGGATTTATTTCTGACTTTCTGTTCAGGAATGACTCCTGGCAGTGCTTAGGGGACCATATGCAGTGACAGGCAGGAAACAGGGATGTCTGTGTGTGAGGCCTTAACCATTGTACTATCTCTCTGGCCCCACTATATGTTTTTAAATTCTTGAACTTCACAAACAAATCGTGGATGAGGGATTTTGTAAATGTATTAGCATGTTTTTGAAATTTGTACCAACACATATTTGTGTGGTACATTCTTGTTAAACATTTCTTTATATATTTATTCACTTATACATTTCTTGTTACCATTTTCTGCTGCCTGTTTGTATGTCTTCAGATTTCATAGCAATAATGTCTAATCAAAACAAAACAGAGAACTAAATTAGAACTGAAGTGAAACTATCATTTTTAATACCCAACATACGTACTCTGTACCCTCATAATTGCATTATTTTGTTAGTGATTTATTTTTACAGCTTGTATCTTACAGTTTTTTTTAATTCATCAGATAAAGTTGTAATAGAAGAGTCCTTTTTCAAATACCCATTTAACATTTTAGGTTTCTCTTAGAGCTTTATTCTGCAGTTAAAAAACAGGGTTATTTCCAAAAACAAAGTTTTAAATTGGACCCTTTAATTTCATTTCTATGATAGCCTTGTTCAACTTGCCCATCAGTGTTTTCTTCAGCATCTTGAACTTCTCTCTTATTGGTCAGGAGAAAACTAGGGGAGACACAGATGAGACTTGGCCTGTCTCTTGCTTTGAAAAATGAATCATCTAATGAAGGGCTCAAACAACTGAATCCACAACATAATCAAGGAAATCTCAAAAGAGACCAATGCCCAGTAGCTTAGTTCTGAAGAGTTCAGATGCCTTTGTGGAAACCACTTTAGAATCTCATAATGGAGTGATATCCTTATCCAATCTACAACATGGATGAATCTTGAAGCCATGCCACTGAGGACAATTAAGTTAGCATACAAATGAGCCACCCAAGTGACCAAATGTTCCATGATTCCTCTTATCTCAGATAGAAAATGGTGACGTCTGGTCAACAAAGTAAATGCACTTATTGACCTTCGACTGCAAGCTGGAAATAGTTAAAAATAGTAGCTCATGTTTATTTTACCACCATAAAGGGTCTGGGAACCCTATCAGGTGTGAGATTGTAGTTCTGATCACAAGCTCTTCATAGTTTGACAGTGATGACAATGTTTTATCTATGCTCCTACCTTACCACCTTCCCAGATATGAGCTTGGCATTTTCCATCTTTCAGGAGTGTATTTTGAATACACTAAATTCCATCGAATCTCTATGTGAATACACAGTCTGCTAATTCTGTATGTATGTAACTAAAAAGAATTCTTTGTCCTTCACCTTCCTGCCTAGAATCCCATCAACATAGGAAATGATTTGGATGGGAATACCAAATGTGATACTGTACATATAAAAAATACGCCTGGGTTGTGTCTAGACAATATAAATCATCTTAGATAAAAATAATGCACGCAGATTATACATGAAGGACTTTTTCTGACTATCAAAAAAATGTCTAAACCTTGTCTTCTTTACTTTCAGCTGTGAGTTATGATCTAAAATACAGGAAAGAAAACTTAATTTCTCTCTCACCATTTGTAAAATCAGGTGCAAACTCTTGCTGGTTTATAATCTATAACTGAGAGGTGTGTCTTTGCCTGTCTTTGCCTGTGCCCTTAGAGAAATATACTGAGTGCAGTAGCCACTGGGTTATACATTGATGTCGTGTTTAGGGGAGGTCAAGATTAGGCAAATGGCACAGCCTAGTGGCCAGGGCAGAGAATGCCTCTCAGGACCATTTCTAAGCGCTGCCTATGCCCTTGAGTTTGCATTACAAAGGAGAAACAAGACAAAATGGAAAACATCCCTACTCATATTCCACTGCAAAAGGTGATAGAAGGAAAGTATAAAGCTCAAAACCTTTAACTTTTCCTTAAGAAGACATTCAAGAAGATACTTGGTCAATCTGCATGAATACTATCTCATTGATTTAAAGGTTAGATATTTTAGTCATTGGAAAGAAGTTCCAATGACATAGCATAGGGAAATGGCTTCCTAGAAAATGGGGCCCTCATAATATAATTTTATCCTATAAGAATTTTGAAGCCATCCAAATAGTTGTTACTCAGAGAACACCTGGAAATTAAAGCAATGTCTTAAATGGCAAATTGGATTTTTCCCTTTTTTGTACTACCAGAACAGAATACAAGCCAGAGAAACTTCCTTCACATTCCTTTGAGGTTGACCACGAAGATGCTGATAAGGATGAAGTAAGTACCATGTTTAAAGAGAAATGTTTAAAAGGGAAGAGTAGCGGGGGCTAGAGCAATAGCACACCGGGTAGGGCGTTTGCCTTGCACGCAGCCAACCCGGGTTCGATTCCCAGCATCCCATATGGTCCCCTGAGCACCGCCAGGAGTAACTCCTGAGTGCAGAGCCAGGAGTAACCCCTGTGCATCGCCAGGTGTGACCCAAAAAGCAAAAAAAAAAAAAAAAAGAAAAAAAGAAAAGGGAAGAGTAGCTCCTGTCCTTTATGACACCCCTGCCTTGTAAACCAACTTTTCTTAAGGCTCCAACAGCTGTTGTGCGAGAGCCTGTAGTCTAAATGAATGCCCGTTGTTTGAAAACTGAACACGGTTATTTAAGATGAGTTGAAGAGGGAACCGTGTTTAATGGCTGTGTCTACGCTCTGGGATCCTCCACAGACTTCGGTGTTGCTAACGATGCTTTTTGTATAGGATTCCACGTCCCACTCTTCGTCCAAGGGTGGAGGGGGCACAGGAGGGACCGGAGTGTTCAGGTCCGGCTGGCTATACAAGGGGAACTTCAATAGCACCGTGAACAATACCGTCACTGTCCGGGTAAGCACACACCAAGCCTTCTCCTGCTTTTGTTTGTTTGTTTGTTTGTTTGTTGTTATTTGTTTCGCTTTGGGGCCACACCTGGTGATGTTCAGGGAAGACTCCTGAGTGTGCACTCAGGAATTATTCCTGGCGGGGCTTGGGGAACCATATGGGATGCCAGGGATTTAACTGGGACATCCGCATGCAAGGCAAGCATCCTACCTGCTGAACTCTCTCTCTCTCCTTGCCCTTTCTGCTTTCAGACATGCCTCATGAGACCTTTTCCTTGGGTCACAGCACAGAGAGCCAGGGGCTTTCAATCTATATCTTGTGTCATGTTGAATTTGTGATAAAAGAGACTCCTTGTTAGAACAAAGTCTTAAAGAGATTAGAATACATCTGGATTCTGTAAGAGCACACAACTATTTGAATGACCCCTTCTGTTTTTGTTTGTTTGTTTGTTTAGTCTTTCAAAAAGCGCTTCTTCCAGTTGACCCAGTTACCCGATAACTCCTACATTATGAATTTTTATAAAGATGAAAAAATATCCAAAGAACCCAAAGGCTGCATTTTTCTGGATTCCTGTACAGGTGTAGTGCAGGTGAGTAGAAACCTCCGTCCCTGAACCCTGCTTGAGTGGTTCTTACTTTTTTCATTGAAAAGTATGTTTGTCTAATCACTATTATTCACTGTCATTCATTCCATGGGTTATCTGCTAGAAGCTAATAACTGTCCCAGACATTAAGGACTTGGTGAAGAAGGCTACGTACTTTCCTGCTGTAACAAAATTTACTTTCAACACAGGTGGGAAAAACAGAAATAGGCAATGAATAAATAAATCACTAAGAAGACTGGAATCTGTGGGGGAAATCTGTAACTCAAGCGATAAAAAGGGTTATGAAAGAGAAACAGATAAATAGTGAAGATGGAAAGGAGTAACTAACATTTAAAAGTAGAAATGCATTTTGGAAAAGAAAGGATTTGATCTGAAGTTGAGAGAATAAGCAACAGCCCAAAGGCAAGATCTCAAAGCAAGAGCGAGTCTGGTTTGTTCTTGGAAAATGATTGTCTGGCTAGTCATAATATAGAGAATCTTGGAGCGGAGGAAGTCACTAAAAGTACATGGTTTGCATGACAGAGACCTGGGTTCAATACCCTGGTGCTACATAGTCCCGCAAACACAGAGTCAGGAATAGCACCTGAGAACTTATTACAATGGCTTAAAAAACCAAAATATGTGTAAGTGTGTGTGTGTATATATATATGTATATGTATATATGTATATGTATCACTGTCACTGTCCTCCCGTTTTTCATCGATTTGCTCGAGCAGGCCCAGTAACATCTCCATTGGAGACTTTGTTGTTACTGTGTTTGGCATATCGAATACGTCACGGGGAGCTTGCCAGGCTCTGCCGTGCGGGCGAGATACTCTCGGTCGCTTGCCGGGCTCTCCGAGAGGGGCAGAGGAATCGAACTCGGGTTGGCCTTGTTGGCTGCATGTAAGGCAAATGCCCTACCACTGTGCTATCGCTCCAGCCCATGTATATGTATACACACATATATATACATGTATATATATACACACATATATACATGTGTATATATACACATATTTATATATACACATATATACTGTAGCACTGTAGCACTGTCCTCCCGATGTTCATCACTTTGCTCAAATGCACACCAGTAACATCTCACAACAAATTGTGGGACTTCTTGTTACTGTTTTTGGCATATCGAATACGTCATGGTGGGCTTGCCAGGCTTTGCTGTGAGGGTGAGATACTCTCGGTAGCTTGCCGAGCTCCCTTAGAGGGGAGGAGGAATCGAACCCAAGTCGGCTGCTTGCAAGGCAAGCGCCCTTCCTGCTGTGCTATATACGTATATATTAAAATTTAACACTTCACCACTTCAACAGAATACTATGTAAGTCATATAGCTCAAAACAGGCATTTCATCGATGCCTCAATATTCACTCTTATTGGTTGTAAATTTCCAATATTCATATACATCATCTCCCCTCCAAAAGGTTCCAATCAAACACAAAGACAACATTGACACCCACCACTTACATTCCAGAACAGACACTGCGCTTTTTATCAGGCAATGCTCTTCTGTCAAGTCTTAGCCTGTCGTCCTTAGCATAAAATTTGACAAGAACCACTGTGACAAAAGAAAGCAGAATAATTCCATAGACCTACTTTAGGCATCTTATTTTCAAGTAATTTATTCTTTTATTCTGCTGAGAGGGCTGACCCTCTTGCGTGAAATGTGAAGCAATCAAGTGTTTTAGCAATCTCATCTCAAATTTTGGCTTCTAAAAGTTAAGAACTCTTGTTTCTGATCGCCGGTCACTAGAAGTCTGTCCTTTCAGCATCAAACCACTCACATTCTGTGTGGCTGGAAATATATCCTGGATTAAAAGTAACATTAGGATTTGGGGATGCATATCAGAATTTACTTCGTCACTAAGGTCTAGCCTATTTCTGGATGGTTCATTGTTAAAATCTGGAATTTATCCAAAAATAACAATGCTGAATTTTTTTTTAAAAATTAAGTGTTGCTGAGTACTCCACTAGAAGTGAAAGATAATTGCATTTTAACACAGATGCCAACTTTCCATAGGGGAAAGGGCAATAAAGATTCTAATGGAGGATGGAGATAATTTTCTGTGTTGGTCACATGGAAGCTGTTTGGCCATAGAAATATGAAATAATACTTTAACGAGGCTTTAAAGATCAATAACCATATTTTATAGACAGTGAGCTGAAAAACTTAAATATTTTCTTTTCCATATCTGTTTCCAAGCTTGCTCTAGCAAATGAGTCATCATCTTTTTGGAACTCATGCTATAGCACGTGCCCTATATTAAATTTGCACAGATATGTAAAATCTTGATTTCTTCCAAGAATCACATCACTATATTAAACACATGCCTTATTACTTTAATCTGACTTTCTTTTCTATGGGAACTTCTTCATTGTTTCTTGAACCATGTTTTGGTGTATGGCTAAGCAGTGCCTTGGAAAGAGAGTTCTAAAAAAACACAAGCATGGATTCATTCAGGTCAGAGTTCAAATCCTAGTTTTACTGTTTTTGTTTCTGAGGACATTGAGTATGTTACTCATATTCTCTGTAGTAAGTCTCTCAACCTTAAATCTAGAATAAATGCTCAAACGTTTAAAAAGATTCTAGGTTCACTGTGTCTTTAGCCATTTTCCCCAATTTTCCATTAAACACAAAATACATGATATTATAAAATAGACGTTGCTTTAGAAAAGGCCCTCTAAGAAAATCTTGTTACATTTTCCTGACATTTTTACCTAAGGTAAGGTAAGGTAAAGGCCCTCCCGTTGATCGTCGATTTGCTCGAGCGGGCCCAGTAACGTCTCCATTGGAGACTTTGTTGTTACTGTGTCTGGCATATCGAATACTCTCGGTAGCTTGCCGGGCTCTCCAAGAGGGGCGGAGGAATCGAACTCGGGTCGGCCATGTTGGCCGCTTATAAGGCGAACACCCTACCCGCTGTGCTATCGCTCCAGCCCATTTTTACCTAAACAGAATAATTTCTCCATATCTTCATTCAAACACTACCTATACCATGCTAAGAACTATGCTCAAGTTTTGGGAATTCCTTGCTGAAGTCATAACCTGAAAAGAAAGATATAGTCCCCTACTTAACCGTTACCCAGATTTGCAAGAGCTTTCATGGCAATATAACATGGGAAGTTCTATGGAGAGTTCTAGGAACACAAAATAGTGACATGCTCTTGTGAATTAACAAGAAGACTACACAGAAAATATGGGCCTGCCAATACCCACCCTTCTTGTGTGAATTTTGTATATTCAATTGATACATAATTGAATAACTCCTCAGTTTCCTTCAATTGTCATTTGAATATTGGATACTATTTATTACATATTCTAATAGTTCAACTCTACAGCTCTGCATTTATATTCCTCTTTATATATATAAACAAATATATATACATATATGTATGTATATATATATATATATATATTGTATATATATATATATATATATATATTCTTTAAAGATGGATGGACTTCCAGATTCTGGTGATCACTCTGTCACCTTGTGCCTAGATCCCAGTTCTTAAAACATGCTCTCAGCTCCATCTAATTTCCAATATTCTGCATCTGGAACAGAGATTCTGAATGAGATATTATGGGTTTAATCATTGTTCCAGCCAGCTCTCAGGCACAAATTGTCCCTGAAGATGAAACACATACACAGAAAAGCACAGGGAAAGTGAAAGATAGGATGAGTCAGGCTTTTTTTTGTCAAGAATCATTGTGCATTTCCCTTGAATTAGACAGAAAATAAGAAAGAAGGGGAGATTTTGTCTCAGAAAGTTCTACCTACCACCCAGAAATCTTTGGGATTCGTGTTCAGAACAGTCCCTAGAGAAGAAGCCATTTTCAATGGCTGAATTCAGAATCAAGTGAATATCATTGTATTTTCCTGAAAGTGATCTTGGAATTGTGAGAAACATATTTCAAGAGTGACCTCACATAGAGAGAAATTTCTACCTAAATTTCTCAGGGACATTATGTGATTTTATAATCGGAAACATCTTGGGTCTCAGTAGAAGTTTTTTAAAGAGTATTTTAAAGGTTTATAGGCAATTTTACACTTTTTTTGTGATATCATTAGGTAGTATTAAAATAGTTTCAGTATTAAAATAGTGGAAATTATTTCCACTAGAGAATAAAAACTAGTGAAACTAGTTTCTATTACTTCAATTTGAACCTGGTACTGTGTTATTCCATCTGTCTTGATCCATCAGTCTTCATATCCCTTGATTCATTGAACCATTCATATATTCACTGCAGGTCCTGCTAGTGTAGAAGATACTGAATAGTCCAAGAAAGTCTTCTGCCATGGGTCCCTACCTAAACATGCCTCAACATGGTCATGACTGATGTCATTTTACCCAAGTTGAATTGTGTGTGGGGAAGGCACCATCCCCATTTCAACTTGCCGGCCATCTTAGAGATGTGACTTGCAATATAAAAACATGTTTAATCAGATACTATAAATTCAGATACCTTCTATAATTTGTGCAGCTTGCTACAAGAAGAAAGCAGGTTCCCAATCAAAACAACAGGGAACCTTCAGATTGTGGAGAAATGAAGTACGCATACCCACAGAGGAAAATAAAAGTAACCAAATAAGTCACGGTCACGGGCCTCCCATTGTTCATCGATTTGCTCGAGTGGGCCCAGTAACGTCTCCATCATGAGACTTGAATACGTCACAGGTAGCATGCCAGGCTCTGCCGGGCGGGCGAGATACTCTCGATAGCTTGCCAGGCTCTCCAAGAGGGGCGGAGGAATCGAACTCGGGAAAACAAATTTAGAAGTCAAATATTACCTATAAGTTTCTTGCTAGCAAACTCTGACTTAAAGAATATCATCTCTCTGGTGTCAGAGAGAAAGTACAGAGTTTTTTAAATTATTTATTTATTTATTGAATCACTGTGGGAAGAGTTACAAAGCTTTCAGGTTTAAGTCTCGGTCATGCAATCATCAAACACATTTCCCTTCTCCAGTAAGTATAGAGTTTAAAGTT